CATTTCTGCAGTGCTGTTCTATGCAGGGCTCTATTTTCCAACAGTTATGTACCAAGAAGCCAGTATTGCATTGAGCAATGCTCAGACCTAGAGCACAGCTGAAAAGAATCCTCAAATATTTGACTACACACAGCCCACGCTGCAAACCACGAACCAGCAGGTGAATAGAGAATGATTTCCAGGGAGTAGAAAACGAAAACCATGCACACCCCATAGCAAATGCAGGCCTCTGAGGGCAGCATTTTAGTTCTTTTTCACTGGAAAAGACCTATTGAAGGCAGTGGGTTGGGTGGAGACCTGAATAAAATGAAGACTCAGGTCTCCTGAATATGCAAGGAATGGAATTTCACCCAGGAGAAGCTGCAGGTGGAAAGGTCCACAGAGTGAGAATAACAGTATAAAAGTAGCTGCTGTGATCTCTGGAAAGCACTGCTGTGTTATTGGAAGTAGTGGTCTCAACTCAAGTATAGGTCTCATTACACTATAGGTATACCTCTTTTGCAGAGACATGACGGGGCTTCCTGTCTCATAAAACACTCTGAATGAAACAGGAGTGGTACTAAAATGGTAATTGTGTGTAATTACAAACTGCTTTAATAAATATCCCTCTCCCTGAATCAGGGCTTAGATTAGAGTGTTAGCAGAGTGTCATAGTAACCGCATTGCCATAGATATGGGCTGTTTCCAAGTAGTTCATTGTTAGGATTATGGGTTCTATTGTGCCAGACTATCTTTCTGTGGAAGATCATGTAATGGGTAAGGTCAAGGGCAAGATGATTACGTTCCTGAGTGCACAGCTCTCAGAAGGGATCTGTACAGCAGGCACAGAACCTACTTCATCAGAAAGTTCTTTGTTATAAAGAAAATTACAAGATCTGGGCTGGAGACATGGCTCAGTGTATACTAGTACTTACTGCTCATGTCATATATCCAAGTTTGATTCCTAGCACCCAATGGCATCCCACAATACACCATAACTCCAGTTCTAGGAGATCTGAAGCCCTCTTCTAGCCTCTGTAGGCACCAGTTATACAGTGTACAGGCATATGTCTAGACAAAACACCCATATGCATAAAATAAAATATATAAATCTTTAAAAATGAAAGTAGCAACATTTCCCCTGACCCTAGCTTCCACCCTCATTGTGCGGTCATTTTAAATGCATCTGTTCTTCTAAAATGTTTTTCCATGCCAAGGGTCTTGAATAGTAGCCCACTTGTTTGAACCAGCCAATCTTCCAGTTTCAGTCTCTCATATCTTGTGTTATATGAAACTGCTGTGTAACTAACTAGCTTCAGGCTGATGTAATGGCCAAAGTAGAGACAGGACAGTCCAGAATCTTACCTGAAGAATCCCCAGATGCCAAGGCGATACTGAATGGTCACCACCACCACATTTTCGTGGGCAGAGAGGGCCAGTCCATCATAGGTGGATGCCCCACCCACTACCAGTCCACCTCCATGGATCCACACCATCACCTGGACAAGAGCATAACCAATCCTGCAGCCCATAGGCTCATGTACTGAGCCAGCTTTTGGTGCTGCTGGGGAGTTCAGTCATACACAGAAAACTTGGAAACACAGCAAAGGTTCTTTGATTTCATAAACAGCATCTAAGTTATAGTCACTGTGGTCATCACTCAAATCACACCAATGCACAGCAAGGCTATAATCTCTCTCTCTCTCTCTCTCTCTCTCTCTCTCTCTCTCTCTCTCTCTTTCCCTCAGCTCCTGCCAGAAATATAGTAATATAATGTAACATGGTACACTACTGCATTTCTCATTTCTCACGTCATCCCAAGATGCTCAAACTTTCATTACCATGGAAACAGCTCAAAGGTCAAAGATATTGATCTCCTGCCCCTGCTCTTATGACTTATGCCTGAATGAACATAAAAGGTTCAGCTCTTGTATTTCTTCTTCATTTCACCCCAGATAACTCCTCATTGGGAAACTAGACATTCCCACAGGTAAGTGATTATCTGATCAGACACATAGTGACCTAATGTGTGAGTGTGTGAGTGTGTGTGTATGTGTGTGTTTGTGTCTGTATATGTATGTATATGTATGTGTGCATGTATATGTAAGTATGTGTGTGTGTGTGAAAGAGAGAGAGAGAGAGAGAGAGAGAGAGAGAGAGAGGGAGGGAGGCAGACTAAGGTTTATCCTCACCTCTCAGTGACTGCAAACCATATGTAATGCTAAGTTTGAACACACAAATCTGCAAATATCTCAAATTCATAGACTCCACACAAAAGAGCTTCTGAGAAATTTGTTGGGTGTTGGCCTGTTACAACTCAGGGATCAGTTCCCTTTTAAAAAGACCCTCCTCAGCCCTGTGATCTATAGCTGGCAGCCTGCTCATCTCTAGTACTGTGTTTCCATTTGAAATGACTGACTTGGCCATCAAACTGCCAAAGGCAGCTAGACTGGGAAATGAGCTACGGTAAAAATCCCAGGGTGTTGTTTATAGGCAGAGAAAATTCTGATGAAAATACCTCAGAGTTCTAACTCCTTAGTCCTTCATGGTGCAGTGAACACCTTCACTTGACAGTCTTTGCATTTGTCACACATGACCTTAGAATAAGCACAATATGTACCCTCCTTCCCAGACATTGTCTAAAAGCACAGGAATGGTGGTGAGATGATCTGACTCTTCTGAGCACCTCTGCCATATGTTCTCTCTTCTCTACCACAGCCTTAGTTTGTATAACTTCACCGAGAGATTTAGTCTCTCCAGGGATGAGAACCTAACCTAATAATTAAAATGACCCATTCTTTTCTTACTATTTGTGTGTGAAAACTTAGGAATTTAGGATGTACATTCCAAATGTGATCTCTACTCAAAACTGATGTCACTGGAAAAATCTGAGGCCTCCCTGTTCTTGAATCAGCTCTGGCTCATGAGCTCCTGCTGCTACTAGCTGCCTTCAACCCCTTTCTGGTTTCCCATGATGAGTTGGAGGCTGGAACTCAAATTTCTGGTCCAAAGGTTCCCATACATACTGGTAACCTGCTGTTCTTTGTCAAATCAGCAGGTGTGTAAATATTCAGGTAGAGGCAGTCTTCAGAAAACTGTAAAGGAATGATCTCCTTTCTGTTGGTGATCATGTCTGAGATAGCCTGCCCTCCAACAGCATCTTGAGAGCACCTAGAAGGGAGAGAGCATATCTGAGGTTCCACTAGATTGAACCTTGGATATATTACCCAGCACCTGACCTTGTACTTGAGGTTTTGAGCACATAGCTGAAGTTATCCTCATTGGATTGGAGTCACTGTTAGGGATAATAGGATCTTTAGATTCCTGGTGGAACTACTAAGACCCTAGATTCTCCCAATCATTCAGAGAGAGGACTTGGCATCTCTCCCTTCCTGAAGCCTTTGGAGTACTGTGTCCCATAAAGAAAGGCACTCATATGCTGCCCTCATATTCCCTAGACAATAGTGTTCCCTGCTCTGTTTGGACAGGGCCCTGCACCCTGCTAGGCTTGTTCAGTGGGTTGTGGCAATGCTTCTGTTGGTAAACATACTTCCATCCTTGGGAGTCTTCTATCAACCAGGAAAATGACCTGTTATAGATTAGAGGTGTTATCTTTTCAGATACATAAGAAGTTATCACTCTGGTCCTGCTTCCACCACTGACATGCTGGATAATCTTGGCTGAATTTCTTGCTTGCTCTGGCTTTAGCTTGCCTGTTCCAGGTGAGGTGAGTAATGTCTCTAAGAATCTCCCCATCCAGCCTGCTGAGATTTTTTGATCTTCCTATCCCATCAACAATCATTGTGGGTTGTCCTGATTGAAGGCCCCATAAGCCTATTGTAGAGAGGAATTGGTAGCAATAATTGAGTTTTTCAGAGTTCCAGGCACTGATCAACTTCTCCTGTAGTAGGAGTCATTTAAGACACATCAGCCCCAGGTATCCGTTATCCTGATTCACAGATGGTACCTGCTTTCCAGTATGTCAAAGAGAGAGTAGAGGTGCTCAAATGCTAAGCCTCCACAGGTGTTGCATCTCAGAAGTGGAATAGTGGAACACAAAAGATGACCTTAACGTCTCTAGCATAGGCAATTATCTTACCCAATGAGAGAAAGGAGCATACTTCACAGAACTAGGAACAGATGACCAGTGAGGAATGAAGAGTTCAACTTCACTAGTGTTTAGAACTCTCAAATAAAGACCAGTGTTGCTTTCTTAAATTCTTATCAGCTCATACCACTTATCTAATACACACATGGTTTAAACAAGGCAAAGCATGGGGAGAGTTCCCCTGAACAGGGGTTGTTCATGTTTTCATGGAACAAGGGTGTGCAGTTTAGATATTTCTAGAGATAAATGTAGTCAAATTCCTACTCCTTGACTCAGAAATGTCACCTCTTACATTTCTCTCCAAATACCCTTGATTACATGTAATGATTTGGTCACAATTAATCACTGTGTTGTCTTACTGTCAGTAATATGGAAAGAATTCACCTAAATAAAAAAAAACTGGGTGCATAAATTCTAATTTCATATCCACATTATATAACTGCTATACACTAGCCATTACATAAATAGTGTAGAATAATATTAATGTTATAAATGTGCAAATAGTCACTAAATTTTTCATTCTCATAATCCCTGTGTAAAGGACAAACACAGAGACAGAACTAGAAAAACAACCTCTAATGCTCACAGTAATTCTGAGTAAGTGGATTGTACCTGAATTTTAACTTTGTTACATTTGCTTCTCTGTATTCCCCTGCCTTTTCTGTTTTAAGTATTTGTGTCTCCATTTGAAATCAGAATGGAAAAAAATGGCAAATGATATATTTAGAAGCAAAGCATGCAGAAGCAGGGACACCACCAGAAAGGGAATCTTTGATTCCTCACAAGTATCTTGCCAAGGGAAAAAACACTGCCTTCACTGATGTTTTTAGGCTATCTGGGCTCCTTGGGATTCTCAGTTGGCTCCAAGATTGAGTGGGGGACAGGTATTGTTCAGTGGTGACTAGAAGGCTGAATAGACCTGTGCATGAGAACTTAAAGTCACCCTCAGCTGTTTTTGTCACCCATGGAGTCCCACCAACCCCACTCCCAAGCAACATCAAGTTTTAAGACAGAAGAATAAAACATCTTTATCTTTTTTACATTGAAACAGGCATACCCCAGTGGCTTACATAGGAGGATAGGAGGTGGTGTTCTTCACAAAGCTCCAGGGCTCTGCAGGCTGTGGTGGAGCAAACCTCAAGGAGCCAAGAGGGGGCTTGGCAAAGGGGACTCCCAGGAAAACAGCTACAGGCTGTGCAAATCCTTCTAAGCTGACATACTTTCCCAGGACTTTGCCTTTAACAGTATTCACCACAGGTGGTGAGGATGGATACCCTGTTGGACAAAAGAAAATAAGGACAAATCAGTAAGGAAAAGGTAGACTTGCCCTATTGATGGGTTTGTCACTTCAGGACTGATTGCTTTGCTAAAGTCACCTAACTCCTTTCAGGTCTTACTCCCTTCTTACACAAAATTAGAGTGAAGAAAATTGCCCTCATCTCAGAGGGCTGACTAAAGACTAAACTGTATTGGAGTCTTAAAATCATCCAGCCTAAGTCACTGCAGAAAGAAAGGTACCAAGCATGAAAATGAGTTTTCATTTCACTGGATTTTTTCATCCACTAGGATCCTGGTGCTGAACTGTAGCTGGGTGAGAAGATGGGCAAGAGTTGCTCCCTGTCCCTGGGAAAGCTCACCTTGTAGGCATGGCAACAGGCACAATCAATTTAATTTTGAGATGCATGGTATTTTGTCCTGAGGTAGAGCCAGGTAGGGGACACAGCAGTTGGAAGAGAGAGTGAGGCCTCCTGATTGGTCACACAAAAGTTGTGATTTACAGTGTGGGGAGTGGTTAAAGGAACAGGAGGGGTAGGAATGACATTGCAATAATGAGAACAAGTGCTGTGGCTCACAGACTGTGCATACAATCCAGCTGGGAAGGGTGGATGTCCTATGACTGCCACCGGAAGGATTCCATGACAGAGAAAGCTAATCCTGGAAGAGAAAGTGCACACCACGGAAGACACTAGATGACTGAGTGAGGGATTGGGTTTTACTAAGTGAACAAATAAGCAGCAGAAATAACTCTGTGGTAAAGCAGACAACACACTTCTAGAACAACCTTCTTGGGGGTCCTGAGCATGGTCTTCCAAATAAGAGAGACTGAGCATCAAAAACATTTGCTCTATTGCCTCATTCTTGTAGAACAGACAGTCTTTGCAGCTTCCTCACTCTTTTCTTTCTACCCATTGTAGGACCTATACAAACCAACATGGTCCTTCTTTACATGGTTGGTGGACTTATAGACACTTGGTCATGGACCCCCTGATGTCCTTTTTTGTCTGACCTCAGGGCCCTCACTTTGTGAGAACATCCTGCATTGGGCAGGGCCTTTCAATTTATACAAGTTTTCATTTTCCTCAAAGCTGTGGCCAGAAAAGACAGGAAAATTCCAAATTTAGTGGGAAGTGGTCAACAGAACTGAAAACTCCTCATCAGAATATAGCCTCTATGTCTCATGCTATCAACAGTCAAATGCATGTTATAAATATTCAAGCTATTGTTGCTAGTTATTACAAAGAATGAGGAGCTTTCTGATAGACATATACATACAAAATCTACTTTCAGATATTCTGGAAGACCGTGGAGAATGGCTGAGATGCTGACATGTCTTCAGTACTTCTAAGAGGTGAAGGAGGGTAAAGCCTTAGAAGAAATAGCCTGGAGTAGCCTTTGTCAGCTCAGTGATGGTCCACACTGAAGTGGATAGAAACACACTATCTAATGTCATATTCCTGTGTCAAGTGGATACACAGCAATGGTGCAAACATTATGTATGTAATTATGTATTTAAAATTGTGAAATGTCAGAGTGCATTTACTGTGTGCCAAAGGACATTCATTCTCTTTACATAATTCCTCAAAGAAGCTTTGCCAGGTGAACAGGAGAGATTTCAAAGCACCAAGCATCGACTACAAAATGGTGAAACTAGGGTGACATCACAGGCTGGGGGAACTGGGATCCCCAAGGTTTAACTTAATGGGGGTCTCATCCCCCACCTTATCTAAGTCTCTTGCCTAGGCCACCCCACCTTTTCTGATCTCCAAGATCTAGACATCAAAAACTCCGAACACAGCGCCATATCTTCCAAACCTCCAAAAGAACTCCACGAAACCAACCCCATGCCACCTCACTCCTCCCTTTGTCCAGGCAAAACTACTACTATGCCTCTTCTCCCTGCCTTCCTCATTGCTTCCTCTTTTCCATCATCCCTGTGGCCTGTCCCTGTCTTGTGGGAGCTTCAATAAAATACCATCATCTCAATTGTCTGATTAAAACATGTTGAAATGTCTATTAATCCATTAAGTTTTCAGCTAACTTCTTAACCTAACTTATCCTCTGGAACCAGAGCAGAAGCAACCACTCATTTTCTCCTCAGTGAAAAAGGCCCTCCTGTCATCTCTGCTTTAGAGGTTGGGTTGCTTTAGAGGCACTGTATCACCCAGGCATTGCAAACTTTAGGACATCAAGTTGTAGTTATTGATTAGGAACCAGCCTTATATGTGGCTCCTGAGTTTATACTTCCAATGTTCTGGTCAGCCTTTCTCTATGACCTGCTTTTGACTTCACTAATAACAACAAGGAAACAGACTAAGCTTTCTTCAGCTCTCCTGTGCCTCTTATAGCTAGTTATCTGGGTGTCTGACCTCTTCTATGTCTCTGTGAGAGTCAAGTTCTTTGGACTTCCATGTACCCCTTCAAGTGCAGAAAGCAAAACTCACCAAGGGACTGGGACTATTTTGTCCACAGCGTTGCCCCTTGTGCCCAGAACAAACACTGAAAATATGCACGCAGACATTTGTAACCCAGAAAGAACTTACCCCAAGCTGTACATGCAAAAAGAAAAAGCCAGACCAGAGGGTAGAGGCCCATTGTGGAAGAACAAGAGCTCCGTGGGTCGGTGAGCTATCTGCTGCTTTACAATTGCTTCTGTTGTGGTCCTGAGGCCCCGCCTCCTTAAGTCTTACTCAACCAGCTCAGTTATGTAATCTAAGATGACAAAAAGCTCTTTTTTCCAAAGAGCTCTCTGGGTGTGAGTCAGGACCTCCAAGCCACACCCACTAAGACTTTACCCACTTTTATTGTAACAGTTAGTGCCCAATACTCAGATTACAAATGGCCAGAAACACACCAAACAGCTTCTTACATTAGCATGTCTCTGCAGAACCCTCACATCAGTCCAATGCACCTTGACCTCTCAAGAGCAGATAGCAGTAGGCTGGTATCTGCAGGTAGTGGAAAGTGTTGGTTTGGGGTTCTTTTGCAAAGCTGAACATTTTAAAGTACCTCACATTCCCACTCTGTGCAGCTGGGAAGAAAGAACAGACACATTTCTCTGTCTCCCTGGACAGACATTTCCTAGAGTCCATATTCTCAAGTTAGGAAGGAACCTCACCTTTACCAACCTTCAAAGGATCCCTAAATTATCTTTGTAGTATTCCTGACAAGTGACTGGGCTCAGCACAGTGCATCCTCAGGTTCAAGGAAGTTAACCCTTCAGAGAAAGAACCTTTGGACGTAATGTTTATATATTAAACAACCTCCTCTGGCAACAATCCTGTTTCCTAGCCATCCATGCATGCACATATACACTAATTCTTCCAACATTTGCCAGAATCCTTGCCCTCCTATTTTATGGGAGTATGCAACAGCAGGTGAGTTGGTGCATGTCTGCAATTGCTGGCCTTAACCAGCTCCAACAGAGTAGCCTCTTTATATTTTCGTGATTGGGTACCTCTTTTCATTCCCCTGTTGTGTGTTTAGTTGTTTTACGTAATCATTTAGTTTTAAGTTCTCAGTATCCATTACTAGGTTATTTGTTTGATTTTAGAAATCTTTAATTTCTTTAAGATCAAATCTCTTCAGCACATTCATTTTCGAAAAAGTTTTCATAAGCTGATAAAATAATAGACATTCGACAGCTCTGGGAGGGACTATTGTATGAATTTAAGTCCATTTGATGGATAATTATATCTTCTAAAAGACATAAGACTGTAGTTAGTCACGATGTAGACTTTCCTCCAGAACTACTTTTGTTTTATCTGGGTCCTGTATGTTATATTTCCATTTTCATTTCATTCAGGAAATTTTATATCTTCTCCTTCTTCCCCCTATTTCTTCAATGAATGACCTTAAATTCACACAGTGGAAGGAGACAACAGAATCCCACAAATTGTATTCGTATTGCTCACCATGAGCAGCAGGATAGTTTGTGACTTGAATCAATTTTAACCCCTCTGAGAGCTGGATCACCAGATTAAGCTGTCATGGGCAGCACCACTGTTATTTTTACAGCCATACCTGGGCTGAACTGTTGGTGGTATGCATCAAGGTGGTATGCACAGGTTTGTTTTCCCCTTAACAACTCACCAAACCCTTTAAAGAGAATTTCTTCATGTATTTATGTCATCACTCAGAAGCAAAGAGATGGTGAACCAAAATCCCCACTCCTTTCCCCTGTACTTGTCTTTCTTTAGATTTCTGGATAATCATTCCATAAAGGGATTCGCTGCAGAGGTATCTTCCTGTGACATTGCCTCTCTCTGAGGAGCACAGATTCATCTCCAATCTAGGAAATTGATTTGATTTATGAAAAAAATTATTTTTCAAATTGAGTCCACATGTGCAGATATTCTCTCCCTGGCCTCTTCCCACTTCCACCACACAATTTTGCAGTTACCCCAAACACTTGGCCACAATCATCTTCCATATGAATTAGTCCCATTTGGGCTCCCCTGAGGCTGAGGCTTAGGCTGGCAGAGCCTCCCATTCACAGCTCAGTGTGTCCTGTCTGCAGTGGCTTCTTAGCCAGAAGCTCAGTCCAGATCACCACCTCCTTATCTTTCAGTCTCTGAGCTTGTTGGGTGGTGGTGCCAATCTGCAAATACCCTTCCTTTTGGTCATACTCTGGCCAATGGGACAGCCCCTGTCCATTGGGATTCCTGAGAACAGAATCAAATAGAATTCCTTAAAGCTGTTATGTGTTCCCTACATCCCTGTGATATTTATAGAGCTCTCAGGTTTATCTTTTCTAAAGATCTGTGCACTACAAAAAGCAAAAACAAAAAGAAAAACAAAAAAAAAAAAAAAAACTAAGCACCATTGTCAGAGCCCTGGGTCACAGGGTTGGAGCCAATCACTTAAATTTTAAAAGCCACCTCTTCCTTAAGGGTACCCTGTTACCTCATATCACCCAACAACTTGGCTCCATTTGGGTCACCAGGCTTACCCAGAATTTCATCATCATCTTGCTGAGATTGATCTTTTCTTCTGAAGTTTCACCTGTGAAGAATAAGAATAATCTTTTTGATTCAGTTCATGGTCCATGAGCTAACAAGAGCTGTATCACACAGGAGATAAGAGTAGAGTCTGGGCTTTTACACCAAAGCTGTGGAATCAGAATGTTCATTGCTAGGGGGCTTTGCTTAGCTGGTGTGTACTTTCTGTTTGAGAATAACTGATCTACGACACAGCTGGCATATGGCATATTCTAGTGTGGTCATCCATGTCCAAATCTTGTCTAATTAATATTAAAATGCCAAAGATGAAGAATTCAGTGTATCACAGGGTCAATGGGATTGCTGGGCCAGGACTATGTACCTTTTCTTACGTATGCTTGAGTGGGAGAAAACTTGGGAACTTGATAGTTGAGCTCATCCCAGGTACACTGAGTTGAGAAATGAACATCAAGAGAGGAGAAGAAATGTGCTCAAGGTCACAGAAGCCTTGAAACCCAAAGCTCCTGATCACAAACTCAAAGGCAGCAAAGCAACATTACCTCTTAAAATCGGGGCACCAAACACAGAGTAGATTTCATCCCCATGGTCTCCTACCACCATATCTGGTTTCATTTCTGATGAGAAGCTTGGGCGATATTGAAACTCATACATGTATGTGGGAGCTCCAGCATCTGAGAAGACACAGGTTCACATACCATTCATATTGACAGACACAAGCCTGGATGGCATCAAGGCCATTGTAATCCAGCAGATCTCTGAGTATCAGTGCAAACAGAAAAACCATTCAACAAAAGCTTCTTGATGTGCTTAGCACTGTGGAGTCAGTGGAAGGAAGCAGTGATATTCATGTGAGGGGAAAGATTTATGAATGCACTGCATCCAGGATGCACACTGGGTTGTTCATTGATAAGTGACTAGTGTCCATTCATTTCAAGATCCACACTTTGCTATGTGTCCTCCATTCAGACCTGTTTTAACCATTCTTGGTGTTTTTGTTCCCACCTGTTCAGAAAAACATGAGATTCTTCCAAGATATTCATCTGAAAGAGAGAGTTTCTAAAGAAAGTGCAAACATGGAAAACTCGTCAATTTTGCCTCAGGAGTACAATATTGTTGAAAGCTGTCTTCCATAAGTAAGAGAATAACAGCTTTCTCAGACAAATCAAATCTTATGAAACTCACCACTTACTTTTCTCTTTAATCACAAAGATAGAGATGAATAATGTGAGACAATTGAAAACACAAAAGTCAATGACACAGAACAGAGAACAATATTGAGAAATGGCCATGATGGTGAGCACAGCAAGCTTATTCTCAGTACAGGGACAAAAGAATGGAATTGTGAAAGGTAACTGTCAAATGATAGTCATAGCAACAGATCATCATTACAATGGGATATACATTCTGATCTCAAAGATATATAAGTGTACAGTAGAGGGGGAGGAAGTTTGGAGTTGTTCTAGGCATATTAGACCAGAGCTTCTCTTTGTTAGAGGACCTGAAGAACCAGAGAGGTAGGATGTAATAAAATCACAAAGAGGCTTTAATACAATGACAGTGTTAGTGATGGTTCATTCAGATAGAAAATTCCTTAAAAAAAAAAAAAAACCAAGAATGTTTAAAACTGGTCTGACTGGAAGACATCTACCAAAGTGTGGATCTTGAAATAAATGGACACTAGTGTCTTATCAATGAACAACCCAGTGTGCTTTCTGGATGCAGTGCATTCACAAATCTTTCCCCTCACAGTTCTTGATCAGTATTTTGGCAAGAATCAGTTTAATAGCTTCACATGTAATATTCAACCCAACATTACATATCATTTTCTAGTACTCATAGACCATTCTCTTGAACAGATCCTATGTGAGAACACAATGCAGTACTCAGACAGATAAAAAGACTGGAATTAAAGACAGCATTTTCTCTGATCACAATGGTTTGAAATGAGACATCAACATGAGGAGCAATTTTAGACAACTGACTGACTCTTGGAAAGAAACATGATCCTGAGCCACTAATGTGTCTGTTATGAAACTAAGGGGAAAATGTAAAGCATATTGAAACAAGTGTGGAACGTAATGCATTGATGAAGAGCTTGCCACACAAATGTGAGAATGAGTGTTTGGATACCCAATATGCGTGTAAATATAGCCTGCCTATGGCATTACAGACTGCTGTAATTCTAACATGCGGGAGGCATAGATGGGGATCTGTGGAGCACTCTGACTAGTTAGACCAGCTGAACTATCGAGTCCTGAGTTCAAGCCAGAGGCCCTATCTCAGGATATAAGGTAGAGAGCAACAGAGGTCTGGTATTCTCACTTACACACACACACACACACACACAAGTGTGTGCCCACACACATATGAACATTCATGGGCATGTGTGTATAACACATACATGGAGACATACACATGTAAAGGTGTGTGCACAAAAATGGTGTCATAGCTTGCCAAAACGAATGAGATATAGGAAAAGCAGTTGTATGAGAAACATTCATAGCATTAAACAACGACATTCTAAAAAGAAGAAAACTATCCAACAATCTTCAGTTACACTAAAGGGATCAAAAAGAATAACAAAGTAAACCCAAGGATAGCAGAAAGAAAAAATAATAATGATTGGTAAAAATCCAGGAGCTGGAGAGTTGGCTCAGCCGTTAAGAGCACAGGCTGCCCTTACAGAG